TTTCTTTTGGTCACATTAAATGTGCTATATCAAATGCTGCCTCACAGATAGCAAGAGATGGTTAAGTAAGTTTGAAAAGAAATTGTGTATGAAAATTACAATAGCAAGTGTTTAACTCTCAAAAATGTTTGTTGAATGGAAATGGGACAAGCTTTTATCACACAAAACCCTAAATTACAATCTTTGTAGAATTAAGTTGTTCTTGACCTTGAGATCAAAGTGTTTTGATATCCATCACCAGAAAGACCTTCACAAGGCTTTTATCTCTCCTAGAGAGATAGTGTTTGCTCAAGTCTAATACTTTTTTGATAGTTGGGGCTGAATATTAAGCTGACAAAAGCAACTATAAACCATAACAGAAACAAAACAGAAAAAAAAAACCCACAGTAATAATTCTCTACGGCCTTCCTGGTCAAACAGATGAACCAGTAAAACAAAATCCTTCTTATCTCTTTAAATTGGAAAATTCCAAATATCACTGCCATAACATGAAGACCACTTTTGTGTGGCAAGCTAGGACATAATGGGCAGAGCCACACAGACCTTTCACTCAAAATACCTAAAATGTTAAGCCTGCTTGCTCTTTCGCAAAGCACAACCTTTGAGCCAATGGTGACATCAAAGATGTGGCCCTGGGGAGAAAGGCTTGATTCAGTGGCTCCCCACCTTTGCTCAGACCCACATACCTGAGGGAGGCTGGGATTCCACTCACACATGGGGGAAAGGAGAAATAAGCAGCTCACTGTGGGGGCAAGCGAGGTCAGCAGAAGTGGCTGAAGCCAGTCTCAATGATGACAGGCCAATCTCACTACATTTTACAGATATGAAAAATTAAAAAGTCCCTGAGGTGGAAATGACAGACAAAAGAGCTAAACAAAAGAGCTAAAAGTCAACATTTCTCCGTTCATCTTTCACCCAGTACACAGAGCTTTCTATGTAGCTGGTGGTCAATATTTGATGAATAAAGTAATATCTTGATGGTTTTTTTTTTTTCAGTTAACAAGTATGGTTACCACAAGGGTCAAAAATATTCATTTAAAATCACTGCATAAGGGCTGGGAAGGTGGCTCAGTGGTAGAGTGCTTGCCTTGCATGCCTGAGGCCCTGGGTTCAATTCCTCAGCACCACATAAGCAAAAAGAAAAAAAGCCGGAAGTGGCCCTGTGGCTCAAGTGGTAGAGCGCTTGAGCTGAAGAGCTGAGACAGCACCCAGGCCCAGAGTTCAGGCCCCATTACCCAGACTCCCCCCAAAAAAATCACTGCATAGGACACCTTAATAATAACAAGAAAATTATACTTTAAAAAATTATTGAATGGGGATGCTGGGTCCCCAGAAGAACTCAAAGATCTGAGGGAAGGTCACTGATTGGTTTCAGCACCTCTGGAAGCCAGAAGCAACCGTACTTAGATTTGTCCTTCAAATTCAACACACCAAATCTCCCTGTATCTGGCTGGAGTGAGATTACCATTGCTGTGACTGGTTTTCTCAAGTTAACACCAGGACTACGAAATTCAAGTCAGAGGTATCTCTAAAAGTCATTTTAAAAAATAGGCATATGGTTCGTTGGGGGCGTGGCCTACCAGATAAACACAATTTGTTTCACAGGCAGTCTGTCAAAAGATAGTTTGTTTTAAGACAGGGGAGGGGGAGAGAAAGAGGAAGAGAGAGGGGATAAGACCTATGTAATCAAAGCTGAAAATTACAGTCTTGCTGCTTTGCTCTGAATTCAAAGGGAGCCACAGGATTCTTTAGGACAAGCAATGGGCCCAGCATCTGCCGCCCAGGGGATGGATTTCTAGATTGTATGTTTTCCCTTAGTATTTTATTTAAAAATATTGGCTTTGGGTTTAAATCTAGCCCCTATAGATAGTTTGTCATTCCTTGTGGCTACATCACAATTTAACCAAACCTCTTCACCTCGTATTTTATGAACTACCCTCACCCTAACAGCCTATTTTCAATTCAGCCATTTTGCATTAAGCTGACATTCGATACTATATATTGATCCACGCAAGTCAAAGCAGGGCACAGGCACAAAGTGTGACCTTCTGTGCAGCAAGGAATCTGTTGTCCCATACAGATTAAAAGAAGTGATTTTTGTTAATAATAATAACTGCTCTTTCACAGTAATCAATTGTATTGTTTTTGTTTGGGGGACATTTTTGCTTTTGTTTTGGCAGCACCTAGGATTGCACTCAGGGCCTCTCCCACAAGTGCTCTTCTATACCACTCTCCCAGTCCTTTCAATAAATGCAAGTTAACCGTGTTGTAGGTGGCACAGCAACATACTGAATTCAACAGAGTAGACATGTATAATGACAGACAAGACTCAGGAACAACAGTGAAGGAAAATCAGACTAAAGCTTAGAGGGGCCTGGGAAGATGTTTAATCTGATATAAGGAGGAAAAACATCAGTTACTGCCATGTCATCTGGTCTCCATGGATACCATTAAACTTTTCTCTTGCTAGAAAAAAATTCATTGATAATATTGTATTTCATGATTATCTTATTTGATACTGTACATCTATTAATTATTCTATGTATAATTCCTCATCATTATTTATATCTCCTCAGAAGCAAAATTCCTTCTGCTGGAAATTCTACATGAGAAAAATCAAAGTCTGATCCAGTTGTGATTCCCTGTCTTTTTTCATTACTATAATAATAATCTGATAGAGGCCTAAACACAGTGGCTCGTGCCTGTAATCCCAACTAGTCAGTAGGGTACAGATGGGTGCACAGAAGTTTGAGAAAGCCTGGCCAAAAAAAAAATGTTAGCAGGACTTTATCTTCACAAACAAGCCAGGCATGGTATTTCATAACTGTAATACCAGCTACACAGGAGGAAGTTGAAAGAGGATCAAGGTCTGGGGCTGGCCTAGGTTTGGCATCCTATCTGAATAACAATTTAAAGGCAAAGAAAGAGGGGGGGGGAGGAAGAAAGAAAGGAAGAAAGGGAGAAAGAAAGAAAGAAAGAAAGAAAGAAAGAAAGAAAGAAAGAAAGAAAGAAAGAAAGAAAGAAAGAAAGAAAGAAAGGAAGGAAGGAAGGAAGGAAGGAAGGAAGGAAGGAAGAAAGAAAGGAAGGAAGAAAGAGAGAGAGGGAGGAGGGGGGGAGAGAGAGAAGGAGGGAGGAAAAGAAAGAAAGAAAGAAAGGAAAGAAAGAGAAAAAAGAAAGAAGGAAGGAAGGACAGATCCCAAAATAAAAAAATGAAGACATGTCTCTCGTGGCAGAACAAGCCCAAGGCCTTGAGTTCAAACCCCAACACTAGCAAAAGTATAGTAATCGGATAGAATTTTGAAACATTAAACACTTGACACATTTGTTGACTACTATAACTTACACAATGTTCTATCATAAACAATATTTCAATTGCTCCCCAAACCAGCCTTACAAAAACATTCAAGTATTTTTATTATCTCCCTTAGAACCTCAAAAGGTAATTACTTGTATTTATTTTTGGTTGTTACAGGCTGCCAGCTCACCAACTAGAATGTAATCTCTGTGGATTGTAAAGAGACTTCCTTGTTTCCAGTTTCCATTTGAATCCACAGAGCCTAGCGCTGTGTCAGGAGAGCTGGTGTTCTAAATATTTACCAAATAAACACACAAATTCCCCTGGACTGCTTTTAAGCCCTTTTTGGCAGGAGGCAGATAAAGGATCAGTGACCCAGATACCCAGCTAGAGTTCAGTGGTCTGCTTACTTATCAAAAGGAAATTATGTAAAAGAGCTCTAAACCCAACAGTACTCATATCAACTAATGGCAAGAGAAAACCGATGCACATCAAAATGCTGGACTATCTAACATTTCAAATCTTCCATACTAAGTTTATCTAGCTCTGGTATATTAAATATTTGCCTCCTGAAGTATTTCAAGAAGTGTGGTAAAGAGAAGTAGGTCCACAGTTCATAGTTCATCAGGACCTGAAGTCAACCACTTGTTGGCCATAATTGTTGGCTTGCAGTTTGACTACAAATCCTTACTTTTGCTTCATGTGCCATTTTTACAGTAAACAGATCTAAAGTATGTGGAATGATTTCTAACTTTTGAAGGCTAACAAACCTCATTGAGAAACATATAAATGCTAAATGTTAAGCAGTTGCCAATTGTAATAGACAATAATTCCTAGATCTAAGAGGCCAAAATCGAACCTCTTACACAACAGGATGTTATAAATTATAATCATTCACTAATTAAGAATGAAATTCTGGACTTTGCCACATCAATCAATAGATAATGGTCCAAGGCTACCCTAGATTAATGGCTTAAGTTTTAAATCTTCCATCTGCTGAAGTTGCCTTAGAAAACATTTTTTTTTCCAGGATTGCTTTTTTGAGGTTCTAATGTTCGCCCCTTCTTCCCACCACCCCTAAACAAAGACTGCAAGAGTGGTGGGGAAATTAGAGACTCCTGAGTGTATGTGTGTGTGTGTGAAGTTAACAATTAGAGACTCCTGAGTGTATGTGTGTGTGCGTGAAGTTAACCAGTCACCCTAGGGGCCTTTGACAAGACAGCATTCCAGCCTCACGTGACCATCCACCTTTTCAGTCCGTGGCCAGACCTGCCTGCACCTGGCCTTAAGCACCAGACAGTGCAGGCTGCTCAGTTCCACTGTGCCTTGCAGGCTATCTGCAAGCTAATAAATGACTGCAGACTTGATGGCAACCTTGGAGATTCCTGAAAATCCACAACAGGAAATGTTAACTGTCCTCCGCCCTCCCGAAACATTCATCAAAAGCAGACCAAGTCACGGCCACAGGGAGGCCAATGGCAGGAGACGAACGCCAGCATTTTCTTCCTTCCTGAGCCATGGACATGGAAGTGGAGAGCCAGGAGGTGGACGCAGGCTCGGGCGGGCGGGGAACCCGTGCCCAAGTTATAAACACTCCCCCCCCCACCCCCCGGCTGCGAGGTGACAACCGCTCCCGCCCGTCCCGGGGTCGCACGCGGCCGATCCGCCAGGGTCCAGCCTCCACCGGGCAACCCGGGCTTCTCACCTGATGCCCGAACACAATCCTGGCGCTGGGCTCGGGCTGCCAGCCTCCTTCCCTTCCCTCCTTTTTAAGGGGAGAGGGCGCCAAACGGGCCTCGACCTCGGGCCGAGGTGGGAGGCCGGGGCGTCCGGGGCAGCGGATGAGTTACACCCGAAAGCCTGGGCACTAGGAAAAGGCTTCCCGAGCGGCTCTCGGGCGCCGGCCCCCAGGCCGCGCCGCGGGGAGCGGGGAGCGGGCGGGCGGGCGCCCCGATTGGCCGCGGCCGGCATCGCTCGGTGGGCGAGCCCGGCCGGCGGGGCGGAAAGGAAGTGGCGGCCGCAGCTTTGCACCAACCATGTTCGGCCGGCGAGCGAAAGCAACCCGGCGCCCTGAGCCGGGTCGGAGGGCACGGGGCGGGCGCTGGCGTCCGCCCCGCGCCGCCGCCCGCGCCCCCCTCCCGGGGACCCTGCGGAGCACCCCCCCCCCGCCCGCCCCGAGCCTGCCCGCGGGGCGCCCCTCGGTCCCCAGAGGCTCCCTGCCCCCACCTCGCCCGCTCCGTAGCCGGGGCGGGTCAGGCCCAGCGCGCCAGGCCGGCCCGGGGGACGCCTGCGGGGACCCGGAGGCGCTAGGCCGCGCTCGGAGCCAGTGACCCCCCCTCCCCCGACGCGACCTCCTCCCGGGACCCTCGCGCGTCCCAACAAGTGTAACGACAAAGCCGGCGGGAAGGACGACGCGGTGTCCCGAGTGGCGGCGGCCGCGGCCCCCCGGGGAAGCCAGGCGCGTTGACCAGGCCCAGTACCCGGCACCGCTCGGAGCCCGCCCGCTGGCTTCGATCGCTGGCACCCGAACACCCACGGCCCTTCCCCGAGCCCGGCGAGAGGGCGATCCTAGGGGCCGCCTCGGGGAGCCCCATCAAGTTTCCTTTCGCCGGGGCGCTTGCTTATTTACACCGGAGGCTGCCAGGAGACAGGGGCCGCCAGCGGGCACCGAGAAGGACCCGCGCCCGTCCTTCCGATTTGGTGGCCACAGTGACTATAAACACGCGACAGTTTTTGGTTTAAATGAGGCCCGACTCCGGCGGACCTGCGCCCGCACACTCGACTCCTAGGGCGCATGATCACTCGGAGCAGGTCTCTGGGTCCACGGAGCCACCTCCCCGCTTCTGCAAATCCAAAAGTGAAATTAAACCTCCACCAACCTCCTCCTCCTCCTCCTCCTCCCGCTCAACCACCTCCTCCTCCTCCTCCTCCTCCTCCTCCTCCTCCTCCTCGCAGCCTCAGCAGCCCCAGTAGCAGCAGCAGAAGCCGCTTCCCCTAAAATCTGAGGATCCAGAATCGCGCCGACAGTTTTCTCCAAAGACCAGTATTTATGAACCCCGGCATTATGTATATATATGTACATATAGATAGAATATATACCCACACACACACACACAACCTTCTGCAAAACATCGTGTCAAAACATCAGGACGCGCACACACACACACACAAGCCCCTCCAGTCCCCAGAAACATGCCCAGGAGAGAAACAGCACGCGCAGTCACAACTATTATTTACCCAAAAAAAAAAAAAATGTTACCTCTCAGTGTGCTGCTTTGTTTTTGTTTGTTTTCACGCTACCAATACAATCCCGCAAGGTTTAAGTGTTGCTAGGGTGTGTGAAATGGAAATGAAAGCCCGTCAGTTGAATAATCGCAGGAGCAAAACTAAAAGTTAGTCCCCGGCTTGCCTGAGAACGGTCCAGATCGAAAGCAAAACAAGGAGAGGAAACTGCGAGGAGCGGCGGCTGGAAATCCCCCCACCCCCCGCCCTCCTCCCTCCCTCCCTCCCTCCCTCCCCCGCGCCCCCTCCCCCGCCCGCCTCCCGCCGCCCTTCCTCCCCAGTGTTTGTTTCAAGCTTGTGCAACCGGGAGGTGGAGGCCGCGGGGGTGCGGAAGTTCGCCGCCGCCGCTCATTGGCCGGCCGCGCCGCTGTCATCCGTTCTCGGAAAAAAGTCAATTTCATTTTCACTTCCCCACGTCCGGGAGCAGCGAGCAGCCGCGCGTGAGTCTGGAGCTCGCCCTCCCCTCCCCCCCCCGCACCTCCCTCTGTTGCCCCCCCCTCCTTGGGGGTCCTGGGGTGGCGGGCGCAGACGTGGATGGAGGCTTTGGAGGCCCGTGGGAGGCGGGAAGGGAATAAAGGACCCTCCATCCTAAGAGCCACCTGAACGGAGAAAAGTGCGGTCGGGGGGCACCTTGGGGAAGCCCAGGGGCGCTGGCCATCCAGTGGGTAGTTAAGGGGTGTTTACAAGCGTCTGTGCTTGGTGATCAAGAACTCGGTGTTTGGGAACACAGCCTGCCTCCCAGGACTCAAGTAGCAAGCTGATGAAGTGACAGGATTCCTGCTGTCTCTGCCCTTCAGGCAAGGACCCTGCCTGACACCCTCCACCCCTCCCCCACCCCCACCCAGGACGATAAGAAAGGCCTGTCAGTCACCTTCCAAAGGCTGATGATCCACTGTGCCACACCAGGACCATTACTGCAGGATGAAGGCCAAGTTCAAGTTTGGCCTTCTTAATTTACTAGCTGGGCATTCTTAGGCCTGTTTTCCATTCTGTCCTATGGAAATAGATGAGAGAATGAATACAAGATCCCGCGCAGCACATGGGGGGGGGGGGGGGACCGGGGGGGGGGGGGGGGGCGGGCCAGTGTCACCTGTTATCCCAAACTAGCACAACTTGCTTGAGGTCCACTCCTTTCTAGATCACTTGGTTTGAAAGTATAGGTTGACATTTAGTTCTAGCTATTTGTGTCCTGATTTAGAGTTTCATAAGCTTTCTATGCCAATTTCTCTACACATCAGAGAAAGTCCTTCCCTGGAGACCATGGCAAGCTATATTATAAACATTCCCTAGAGAGAGAGAGATGGTGGATATATATATTTTTATATATATATATATATATATATATATATATATATATATATATATATATCATGGAAATGCTGAATTCTACTGACCAGAAAATGAAAAGTATCTAAGTTATGCAAGTGGCAAGGAAATAGCTGAAGGTTTAGGAAACTGTCTTGTGGCTATGATCTCAAAATAGATCCCACATTCGCACATTGGTTTTTGTTTCTTCTTTAATAACACTTGCTTTTACAGTTCATATATCAGTAACCATAATTATATACAAACTATAGGATAGTTGTCACTCATCAAGAACAAGGAGGCAGAGCACTAGGAGGCAGAGCACTAGCCTAGAAACCTTGAAGCCTTATGTTCAATCCCCAGTCCTGGAAAAGAGAGAGAAAGCACCTTGTTTTTCCTGGAGGGAGAAGGAGATGGAGAAAAGGAAGGAGTACATGGGGTTTTTGTTGTTGTTGTTATTTCTTGCTCATTGCATGCACAAGACTCTAATTTCACTTCAGGAGCCTCCAGGTGGAGGTGCTGGCCAGCTGATACTGGCTTTCTGGAGTCCATGACAGGTAGCTGCCTCTGGTATGAAGTAGGAAGGGCCAGACAAGGCCATGCCTACAGAAATCTGCCCTGCATCAGATTAACCTCGTATTACCATGCAGGAGTGTGCTAGAAGCTGACTTGCTGGGTACATAAACCTTCACAATAGTTGACTTCTCAGGCAGTGTCTGCTGCTTCTCTAAGACTGTTTTTGCAGTGCTGAGGATTAAATCCAGGGTCATTCTTTGTTTTTGATATCTTCTTGCTCACATTACACATCCAGTCAGTCATATCCTATTGCTTTGAGATACTATGCCCATAGTCTCTGGACCTGGTCCATCCCTACAACTCTTCTTTCCCTTATTGCAACTTTTAGGAACCTTACTTCCAGTCTACCCCCTTGGGCTCCTTCAGGCCAGTGACCACACTGTTATCCAAGTTAAGGACAAAACCTCTTGGTAGCTTTCAAAATAAAGACCATATTACTTGACAGGATGCCTAAAGTCCATTGTAATTTGCTGGCAGGCTGCTTTTCTAACTTCACCCCTGGCAGGCCCCCCATCTCTCCCTTTCCAAACTAATTGTCTCCCTTACTTCTTGTATCTTTGTTTTATCCTTAGCCTGAGACTTAGCAGTACATAGGCTCTCGAATATGTGTGAATCGTCTTTGCTCATTTATTTAACTGCTTATAAAATATTTCAGACTGTATCACAGGATTTGTTTTATATTTTAACAATTTTTTCATGTAAATGTAGCTAATATTAATTTGTGCAAAATTCAGAAACTATAGAAAAGTTGAAGGCAGAAAATATGGCTAAGTAGGGCACCAGTGGCTCATGCCTGTAATCCTAGCTACTCAGGAGGCTGAGATCTGAGGCTCCTGGATCAAAGCCAGCCCAAGCAGGAAAGTCCATGAGACTCTTGTTTCCAATTAACCACAAAAGCTATAAGTGGCACTATGGCTCAAGTGGCAGAGTGCTAGCCTTGAACAAAAAGTAGCTCAGGGTCAGTGCCCAGGCCCAGAGTTCAAGCCCCCCCCCCCCAAAAAGAATGAAAATATTATTATATAATTGTATAATTTTATATAATTATATTAAATATATTGTATATATTATTATATATTACATATATTATACACATAATTATATATAATATATTATTGTATGGAAATAATAGTCCTTTTGCTTGGTAGGCAGAGACAAGGGATCACTAGTTTTGAGGCAAGCCTGGTTTACAAAGTAAGTTCCTATCTCAAAAAAATAATGACTGAGCTGAATGTGGCAGCTCACACTTATTAACTCTAGCTATTTGGTAGGCAAATATAGAAGGATCATGACTTGAGGCCAGCCCAGACAAAGTTACCGTGACCGTAGTTTAAAGAACAAGCCAGATGTGGTGGTGTGTATTACAAGCTCAGCGAAGCAAGAGACATAGGTGGGAGATTAAGGTCTGTTGGGCAAAAAGCATGAGTCCCTATCTGAAAAGTAACAAAAGCAAAAGGGGCTGGGGACATGGCTCATGTTAGAGGACTTGCCTAGTAAGCATGGAGCCTTCAGCTTCAAACCCAGTACTGAAAAAATAGTTGGGACATGAAGATATACATTGGTAATAGAGTGTTTGCAAGGCCTGTGCTCAATCCCCTTAGGAAGCAAAGAAGGGAAAAAGGGAGAGAGGGAAGGAGGAAAGCAGGGGAAAGACTAGCCATCTGAAATCCTGCTATTTGTATGTATTTCCTACTAGTAATTTTTAAGGTGTCTGTACACAGGATAGTAATGCTTACTGTGCTTCCTGCTCTCCCCAGCCCT